AGACCTCGTGCGCCAGGACGCGGGCAGGGAACGCCTCCCGAGAGGGGCCCCGTTCGGAAGAGGGTCAGTCGAGACAGCCGCGGCCCTCCCGGGCGTGTCTCGTCCCTTCTTTGGCCTCCTGGAGACTTCTCGTTGCCGTGGCTGGGTCGCCTCGAAAGACGGGTCAGGATTCGGGGGCGGCCAAGAAGGGGGTGATGATTACGTGTGGGGATATCGTGACCAAGTTTATGATATTCGTATTAGTCTTATTATGATGTGTCCTCTTTTTTGTGATATCGCATTATTCATATATTGATAGTGCCTTCTTATTCGTATTAATATGTTTATGATTCGTGTTGCTCTTCCCCGTCTTCCCATCGCTCACCCACCCAGTCCCGCCCTCGTCCGCGCACGTGACTCAGGCCATGATCTGCCACGCTCCCCCCCCCCCCGTGGACGCCCCCTCCTGGGCGCCCCCGACGGAGGGACCCCAGGCGGGCCGCCGCAGCCCACTCAAAAAAAAAAAACGGACCCGGTCCGGCCCGGGAGGGCCGCCGCCTGCTCGGCCGGCCCTCCTCCGAGGCAGTGCTTTCTGCGCCGCCGGCGTCGAGGATCGAGGTTCTCCTCCTCCTCCTCCTCCTCCTCCTCCTCCCCTCCTGCCTCCTCCTCCTCCTCCTCCTCCTCTCCCCCTCCCCCCTCCCCTCCTCCTTCTCCTCCTCCTCCTCCCCCTCCCCCTCGCCCTCCTCCTCCTCCGTCCTCCCGCTCGGCTCCCCCGACGGGGGGGTGGCCGATGCAGCCCAGCTGGGGAGAGGGATACTGGAGGCCCAGATCGCGAGGCAAGGGGCGCCACGCCAAGCCTGGCATGGTGCTCAGAGGCCTCAACGGCAGCGCCTGGGGCACCCTCGTCGACCACCTGGACGAGATGCCGCTGGGCAGAAATACCATCATGCTGGTTCAGGAGCACCGCCTCACCAGCGACTACGTCGGCGAGATCAGTGCCAGCTGTTTCCAGAGGCACCTCACCGTCGCCCTCGCTCCCGCGGCGGTGGGGCCAGGTGGCGGCAGAGTGGCAGGAGTGGGGATCGTCGCCCCGCGCTGCGTAGGCCTCACCTACCTCGAGGGCGTGGACACCTTCGATTTCTCGCCTCCAGGCTCGCCAGGAAGGCTGGTGGCGGCCTGGACCCCTGGGTTTCTTCGCGGTGGCCTCATGGTCCTCAGCGCCTACTTCTGGGTCTCCGAGGGCTGGACGGTTCGCAACCTGTCCATCTTGGACGCCATTGGTGAACTAGTGAGGGCCTACGACATCCCGTGGGTCCTCCAGGCCGACTTCAACAACACCCCCGACACCCTCATGGCCACGGGCTGGGTGGCCGACGTCGGGGGCACCTTCTTCTCCTCGGCCGCCCCCACCTGCCAGGGCAAGGGAGGCGGGAGGGTCATCGACTACTTCGTGGTGGACACGCGCATCGCGTCAGCCTTCGGTGCAGCGGAGGTGCTCGACGCGTCCACCGCCCCACACAGCCCCGTCGCCATCACGACGGAGAGGCCACTGCGGGAGCGACTAGGCTGGAGGCTGGTCAAGCCTCGTGCTTTCCCGACTCGCCTCCCCGTGGGCTGTCGTCGGGAGCCTCCAGCCTGGCCGATCCTCGACAGTGGCGCAAGCTACAGCGACGCCGAGCTGGAGGAGCTGTGGGCTGGGTTCTCGGCGGCGGCCGAGCGCGACCTGCAGGGCATCCACGACCTCGTCGGCGAGGCCGACTACACTGGCAGGGGGGGTCACCCTCGATGGGCCAGAGCCCCGATCGCAGGCCCAGAGGCGCATGCGAGGCCCAGGGGCACCACGCGCTCCAGGGCATGGCGCTGGGTGGCCAGCCGCGTCGGGGACATAGTCTGGCTGGCGCAGGCGGCCCGTCAGCGGCGCGACTGGCAGCCGTATGCCGACCAGTGGCGACGCCTGCGCAGGCGCCTTCACCACGGTGCTGCCCGCTGGTGCGACGCGCTGGGCGACGACGCCAAGGCCGTGCACGCCGAGCTCCTAGCGCTGGGCGACCTCACCTGGGACGGCGACGCGCTCTGGGAGGACGCCCCCAGGGCGATGGAGCTGCAGCGTCGGGCCACGCAGCAGGCCCACGTCATCGAGCAGGGCCTCCGAGACCAGAGGGCCACGGCGTGGCGCCAGAGGCTCAAGGACGGCTCACAAGGAGGTGCAGGCTTCGTCCACCGCATGTCGAAGTGGCGCCAGGGGGTCGACCCCGCGCTCGGGGCCCGAGGGCACACGAATCTGGACATGACGTGCCCTCAGGCTGCGGTCGACCTGGAAGCGCTGAAGTGGATCGACCTCTGGACCTCCCACGGCGCCCAGAGCCGAGGCGAGCTCCCTCGCCCCTGGGAGTCGGCCACCTTCGAGTATAGCATGGTCGAGCCGACAGCGGACGACATCAGGTCCATATGCAGGGCCTTCCCAGAGCACACGGGGGTCGGGGTGGACAACTGGCACCCCAGGTGGTTCGCGAGCTTGGGGGACGAAGGGCTCGCGCCCCTGGCCGCCTTCGTCGCCTACGTGTCGCGCACGGCCAGGTGGCCCCCCCAGCTGCGCTACGTGATGTACTTCCTGCTGGCCAAGCAGGGCGGGGGGACGAGGCCCATCGGCCTCCTCACCACTGCCGCGCGGCTGGTGGAGCGCGCGCACTCGCATCAGTTCCGCGACTGGGAGCGGGAGATCCGACGGGACTACGACTTCGCGGCGCCAGGCGGTGGCTCAGAGGAAGCGATATGGCAGCAAATGTTGTTCGACGAAGGAGCCCAGCCTGGGGAGGTAACGGGCACGGCGGTCCTAGACCTAGAGAAGGCTTTCGAGCACGTCACGATGTACCTGCTGTGGGCTGAGGCGCCCAAGCATCAGTTTCGGTTGCAGCTTTTGAAGCTCCTAATCTCGATATACACGGCCACGCGTTTTGATTCGTTCCGCGGCGTGGCGTCGGTGCACTCGGTCACCACATTCTCTGCAGCCATTGCTGGTAGCAGCGGGGGCACGAGATGCCTCAAGTTAGCCATCTTGCCAGTCGTAGACGGGTTGGCGCAAGAGCACCCTGCCATGCCGCTGAAGCTATTTGTCGACGATTTAAGCATTCAGGCGCGAGGTGCGGAGGCGGATGTCTCGGCCTCGCTGCGTGCGGCCACGACCCAGTATATAGAAGAAATGGAGGCCCGTGGGATCCCCGTCCCCAGGGTCCGACCAGACAAGCCAACGGGCAAGGGGTTCATCATGACAGCGCAGCGCTCCTTGCGAGCCCGCACCAAAGGTTGGGCCCACAGCCTTGGACTGGAGGTCCAGGCCAGCAGCACGCAGCACGGAGTTGACTCGGCGGGAGGAGGAGTTGTGTCGCTGCGCGCCAGAGCCGATGCCAGGATGGGGAGCGCTCGGCGACGTAGAAGTAAGTTATCTAGTCTCGGCAAGCAGGGCGCGCGCACCTTTCAAGTCGCGCGCGTGGGATTCCCCCCTTCTGTGCTGTATGGGGCGGTCTGCCTCGGAATGGACCCGACTCGGCTCACCCGAGCGAGGGCGCTCATGGCCTCAGCGCTGGGCGGGAACGCAATCGGTAAGGACCGACTGCTGCGCCTGCGGACGCTTCGCTGCGACCCCCTGGTCGACGCTTGCACGAAGCCACTGCTCAAATGGGCGGAGGCTATCTTTGCTGGCAGCCATGAGGAGCTCATGGCTGCGGGGTGGCGCAGAGCAGTTGCGGCTGCCGCTGCCGCCAAGCCTGGGAGCAACCCCTGGAGACAGATAAAAGGACCTGCCACAGCCGTCTGGGCCACTCTCCGTCTCCTCTCGTGGACGCGGCCTGCCCCTCGCGTTTTCTCCGACCATCCCGGGCAGCAGTGGGAGTTGCGCAGGGCGGCACCGCAGTGTCTCAAGAAGCTGATCTGGTCCCGTTTGGAATTCGCGGTGATGACCTCCTGGGCTGCCTCCAGGGACCTCGGGATCACCCGTCCTTCGACGAAAGGCTAACCGATCACCGCAGAGGCGATCGGCTATCCTGGCCTACATGGGCCGCGACTTCTGGGCCCAGGAAAAAGTCTGGCGCGCGGGTTTCGGGGGCGACAGGTCCTGTCAAGCTTGTGGCGCTGAAGTCGGAGGTCAGCACCATCGTTTCTGTCGCTGCCCAGACCGAGGAGCAGCGAGAGCCACCGTCGCCGAAGGTGAGGGCCTCCAAGGGATCGTGCATCGTGCTGAATCCTCCTCCTCGGACTCCCTCCTCTTCTCCCGTGGGCTTCACGAGCACCCCTTGGAGGACCCGCAGTCTGATTGGATTTCTGCCCTGGAGGAAGAAAATCCCGATTTTGTGAATCCCCCGCTGGTCTCAGGGCGGGCCTACTCCGACGGATCGGCCAGAGGCCCACCAGGGCTCAAGAGTTTCGGTTGAGGCTACGTTTTCCTGGACCAGGACGGGGGGGCTGTCAAGGCCATGCGGGGTGCCCTCCCAGGGCTGCGTAGCCTCGCCTCCGTCCTCCGTGCTGAATTGTACGGATTGCTCAAGCTGCTGGATAGCGCTCACCCGCCCTTGAGGGCAGGGATCGACAATAGTTCAGTCATTCGAGGCCTCCGTAGGGGTCCCCGCTGGTGCTGCAGCCCTAGGAGGCCGC